TGCCAACAAAGTGGGAGATTTGGAGATGGATTTGCAAAACTGAAGCAGAGATTTAAAGAAAACCCAAACAAATTACAGAAGTGGAAAAATGCTTTGATCCAATCCACAAGCCTCTCTAGATGGGATTCCAAGAATTTTAGGTACCTTCTAGTGCAGATCATGTGCCTTGTATGAGAAAAAAAAAAGCTTTTTTCATGAACTGATAGTGTTTTAGATTTTGCTTATCCATTTTAAGTTCATGAGTCTACCCAATTGTCCTAGCATTTATAATTTATACTTGATTTTTCTATCTATTAAACATACTTTTTTTAGGCCAGAGACCAAACTCACTAAAAAAAATTGTCAAGGGATATCTTGAGGAAATTAAACTTCTGTACATCGTCATCATGTCATCTTGAAGGACTTGTGGGCATTAATCATCAAATTGACAAAATTGAAGAACTATTGATTGATGCTCGAATTGTGGGAATATGGGGCATGGGTGGTATAGGTAAGACTACACTTGCCAAAGCTATGTTTCACAATTTGAAGCTTCCTCCTTTATTGGAAATATAAGAGAACAACTAGCAAGAATTGGACTGAACAAAATTAATGGAAGAATGCCTTAAAAAATTATTAAAAGATGAGGGCCTTCATAGAAACATAGGCTCCAACGAAAAATGATTCTTTTGATACTTGATTATGTGGACGATTTATTAACAGCTAAAGATTTAACCAAATTGTGTGATTGGTTTGGAGAAGGAAGTAGAATTTTTGTTACATCAAGAGACATGCAAGTTCTCAAGAATTCTTCTGCATCTAGAACATATCATGTTCAGAATTAGAGTTCTGTCATGCTCTAAATCTCTTCAGTTTGAAAGCATTTAAGCAAAATGATCCATTTAAAAGTTATTTGGAGTTATCAAAGTTGGTTGTTGGTTATTGTCAAGGAAACCCATTAGCTCTTGTAGTGTTGGGTTGCTTTCTGTACAATAGAACAAAACAGCAGTGGGAAAGCACATTGGAAAAACTAAAACAAGCTCCACACAAGGATATTTTTACTGTGCTCAAATTGAGTTTTGATGGACTTGATGAGAAGCAAAAGAATGATTTTCTTGACTTGGCATATTTATCGAGCAAAATAAGTTATAAGATTTCTTTAAACTTTATTAGGATCTTCTATGACTTTTCTATGTACATTGAGATAAGTGTCCTTAGAGAAAGATCTCGTATTTTGATGGATCATTTTGGTGGAATTGAGATGCATGATCTTATAAGAGAAATGGGTCAAGAAATTTGTAGACAACAATTGATTATTGATCCTGAAAGACCTATTCGGCTGTGGAAACACAACGATATTTATCATTTGTTCATCAATAAAAAGGTACTAAGTTGTCAATTTATACATTTTTCATATTTTTACTTCCTCTTCCTTGTTCAATTTTGAAGCTTTTTGTGTCATATATGTATTTGTTGACTAGAGAAGTGGGACAATTCGATGCATATCTTTGGATATGTGCAAGACAAAAGAGATAACATTGCAGGCTAATGCCTTCAAAAAGATAAATGCTTTAAAATTTCTCGAGTTTTACAAGTCTGATTTTAAAGAGCCTTCAAAAGTATATGTTTCTGAAGGTCTTGATAATCTTCCTGAAGAACTAAGTTTTTTCTTTTGGGAAGATTATCCTCTACCATCTATGCCATTGAGCTTTTGTGTAGAGAATCTTATGGAACTTGAAATGCCTCATAATGAACTCCAACAACTTTGGGATGCAAATCAGGTACATATAAATATCATTTTCCCACAATATATATAGAGAATTTAATTGTTATGTAATTTATTTCCGTTGTTTCTCTTTTTCAGCATTTCCCCAATTTAGGAGTGATGAATCTGATTGCGTCAAAAGATCTGATTGAGCTTCCAAATCTCTCTGAAGCCCCCAATATGAGTATGGTATATCTTGATGAATGTGTTAACTTGAATCAAATTTATTCTTCAAGTAGCTTGAGCAAGCTTTCCCATTTATCCATACGAGATTGCAAAGACCTGAGACATGTAAGCATTGGCGGCAATATTAAGGAGACAAGTTCTGGGTTAGTAGCTGTCTACTGGATCTTGGCAACTCGTTATTCCATAAATTGACTGTAAAGCTCTTTGTCTCAAATGACGGCAATATCTTCTCTGGCTTTTGGGTTAAACTTATGTCAGTATCATTGTCAGAGATAGTATCAGCAGATCAGTGCATGAACAATACTGAGAGTTCAAAGTTGAAATTATCATCTTTGTTTCCATTTGTTACTTCATTTCACTGGTTAGATCTTATGGAGATTGGCAATTTCAGCGAACGTTTCAACTTTCTTTCTGAACATGAAGAGCTTAAGAATATCCATGCTAAAGATGTAGTCAATGAACTCAGAGCCATGGTGAGAAAGCCATTGGAGGTTGAAGAAAAGAGAATAGCAGAAGAGGTGATCACAAATTACACTTCTTATTATCATGGAAAAAGGAAGCCATTAGAGATCGAAGAAGAGATAATGACAGAAATAATGGAATGTTGTTGAGATACAAGCAATAATAGATTAATCGGAGCTCCTAATAGCGTCACACGCTGGCTATTACTGACACAAGTGACATTACAGAAAAGTGAAATTACTGGGCGTGAAGGTTGGGACATTCCTGGGATTTCAATGTTGAAATCACTTGCAGAATATGGTTGTTGTAGCAGGATTAAACCTGTCATAGATATAAGAATTTCACTGGATAAAGAAGCAACGATATGGGGTGGCAATAATGATATTATAGCAGAAACAAAATGGGACGTGCCTAATTTTAGCACCGATATATGGCAAGAATTGGCTGGAGATTTCTTTGTTCATTTTCCCATTCTCTTAGATCATGACTCCATTTCGTTTCTTTTATGGTTTTCAAGAAGAAGGATTAGCAGGTGATGATGACTTTTGATGCTTCACGTTATGGACACACTGGTTTTGCACCCACGTATCATCATTACTGAATGAAGTGTACGTATTCATTTTGTGAATGTAAGGCCTGCATGTGCAATACTCATATCAAGATTTTAATATTTGGTATTCTCTCTATCCCTTAATATAAGTCTCAATTTTAAAAAATACCAAAAATATGTTATATGTGAAAATTATTTTTTACTCCTACTTTCAATTAAATGCAATGGAAATGGGTGCATTTTTAAATATTAAAAGTAGAACATGTGATTTAGAACTTTTTTTTCCATAAAAAAGTATTTTTAAAGGATACATTGATTATAATTAAAAAGTTAAATTAAAAAAAAAACCAAAAACTAGGACCCATATTAACCAACATGGTTAGAGCAAAAGGGAATACTCTGGCTGCTTCAATGACAGTAAAAAAGGATTTTATTACACAAAGATTGAGGTGTGTGTTCGTCACACAAAGAGAGAGAGAGAGAGAGAGAGAGTCACCAATAAAGTAGGGGAGCCAATCGGAGGCATTTGACTTGATCTATGAGAGGCAGAGCAAGAGAAGCAACAAGAATAATTACGTATATGGGACTCTGGAATGTGCAAACGCAGTGAAATCCACGAGAGGTTGAATCTTTTTAGTTTTTACTTCTCAAAATTGAAACTTGTAGAATGTTGCAGCATCTTGTATTTCCAATAATAGGGACAATTATTAACACACTGGTATTACATTATTAGTGTTACTTGTACAACACTCCACTTGTGCCACTGACTCATCTACTTCCGATCCCATCCTCTCTTCGTTATCATTATCCACTTCTCTTCTTGATGGCGCCACCACGCCACTTTCTGACACTTGTTTAAATCAAATGCCAGAGATGATCCTCCTGACACAAACATCTTCATTGTGTCACTTCATTGAATGACAACTTGTGAAGATCCAAATAATTGTGCACATTCACTAACCCTGATCAACTTCTCCCTTTAACAGTACCACCAATGTTTATTCGCTTTGGCCCATCATATTTCAAGACATAAATCGGTAAGCTTGACTAGGATAGTCCGAAGAATGGATTTGATTCAAACTTACACAGCCATCAACATTTAAGCATTCAAGATTTGGGGCTTTAGACAGATCTGAGTACTGTGAGATATTTTGAGTGGCTTACATCGATCTTCTTTAAATTTGAAAAACGCTGAAAAAATAAGCAATATGTTACGTTAGATAACTACACAATTTAATCATGAACTTCTCTCATGACAATTAAAAACAAGAGATTTTAAAGGAAATAAGTCATCAATGCATTTAGAAGAGTATTGGATTTAAGGCAAAAAAAAAAAAAAACCCCGTTCCATAAAGCTGGAAAAATTAGTTATTGGTAAATTGGGTCTGGATATGTATATGTATAGGGGGTGTAAAATCTTAGGGCTAAAGGGGGCAACATGCTGAAATTTACATAGCTAACGTGCAATTTCTCCAAACAGAGGGGGTGGACTCAAATACCAAACATGTGCATTTGGTCAATGTTTGATGCCTGAGATATCTAAAATAAAAGTTCAAATAGGTGTTTAGAAGATAAAGAAAATGATACATACTTGATGTCCTTTCTGAAGTTGCCAGATATGACTATTAGGAATTTGAAGCTCAATAGGATTCTCCTCACAGAAGCTTAACAACACATATGGTAAAGGATATTCTTCCAACTAACAACCCTGAATTAGTTCATCTGGAATATAACTCATATCTTTACCAATAATCAACTTTGAATGCTCTCTCCAATCAGACCAATAAATTTTTAGAAATATTAAATTATGCATCCTTCGAAGGTCATGGAATCCTTTTTATCTTGCTCATGTTCAATGACAAGCATCGGATTGACTCAGTCACCTAGTAAGCAAGTCAAGGGAAAAAAAATAAAAACAACTATTATAACATAAAAATTTGCCAAAATATCATAGAAAAAAAGTATATATATTAAATTATTACCTTGTTGCTAATGAAAAAAATCATAAATGTCCCTATGACTTCGCAATCAAACAGGGCCTTTAGGATTGGAGAATGACTATTCTCTAGCAATTTCAACACCCATGTCCCTCACAAGATCATGCATCTCAATATAACCGTTATGATCAAATGAAGTGAGGGATCTATCTTTAAGAACATTTATGTCAATATCTACAGAAGAGCCATATAATTGTCTTATTAGCTTCAAGGAAACTTTAACTCTTTCCTTGATGAAAAATGCTATGTCAAGAAACCTATTCTTTTGGTGCTCATCAAGTCTATCGAAACTCAATTTCAGCACCCACTTGGGTGGTGCTTTTTTCATTTTTTCCAAAGAACTTTCCCAACCCTCTTTTCCTCTACCCTAAAGAAAAGAACCCAACATTACAGGGGCCAATAGATTTCCTTGACAATAATCCACTACTGATTCTGATAATTCCATATAACTTTTAGGTGACTCATTTTGCTTGAATGCTTTCAAACTAAAGAGATGAAAGGCATCATGGAAATTTAATCTTGTAATAGAGTATGTTGAAAATGCAAAAGCATTATGAAGTACTTGTATGTCCCTTGATGTGATAGTAATTCTAATTCCTTCTCCAAACCAACGATACATTTCAGTTAAATCTTCAGCTGGTAGTGAATTGTCCACATCATCAAGTATTAGAAGAAGTTTTTCTGCATCAAAGTCTACTTCTCACAAAAGAGGATTTTATATTGAAGACATTAATGTCCTCATCTTTTATTAATTATTTGAGACATTCTTTTTGTAACATGTCAAACCCAAATATTGCTAGTTGCTCTCTTACATCTTCCACAAGGGAGAAAGCTTCAAACTGTGCTTTCAACTTGTGGAATATAGCTCTAGCAAGATACTCGTACCTATACCACCTATACCCCATATTCCCACAATGCGAGCTTCACCGAATAGCTCTTCAATCTTCTGAATTTGATGGTCAATCCCAACCAATCCTTCAAAATGAAAGGACGACTTGCTATTCAATTTTCTCAAAATGTCTTTGACAATCTTCTTAATAAGTTCGCATTCAGGCCTAGCATATATATAAATTAAAAGAAAAATCATGTTTAATGCCCAAAGAAAGAAGCTATAAGTGAAGAATGAGTAGAAACTACTTGACATTCTTTGAATCCCACCCAGACAGATTTGTTGATTGGATCAAAGCATTTGTCCAACTTTGCACTTTTTCTTGGTTGTGCCTAAATCTCTGCTTAATCTTAGTAAATCCATCTCCAAAACTTCCATTCTATGTCATAGAAAATAGGGATGACAACTCTTTGGTATTTATCCCTACAGTTTATAATATGAACAAGCTCGTCCATACAACATGTTGAAGATGCATAATCTTTGGAAAAAATAATCAAAGATATTTCTGATTCCTCTATTGTTTTCAGAAGAAGGGGTGAGATATGGTCTCCTTTGCGGAGCTTGTGATCCATAAAAGTTTGAAGGTTTGCATCGCAAAGTGCTTCATAGAGATAACTTGAGAAACTGTCATAAGTATCTTCCCCTCTAAAGCTAAGAAAGACATCATAATTGGTTGTAGCAGGAGCAACAAAGATATTAAAAGGAGAGCAAACCATGGGAATCGAATCAACATCATCTTTAGAACTGCAGATGGGAGGAAATCATGAATTAATATTGGGCTATCAGCAAACGGAACAAAGAGAAATTGTAATAGAAGATGTTACCTATCATGCAGAAATAGGATGGATAGGATGAAGTGGAGAGATTAATCTAACAACTTTAGAAATTGCTATAGCCAGTAAAATCAATACAGCTTCTATGAGCATTAAAGCAATGGGTGCATCCATGTGATTGTAATTTTCAACCTCAAACTAATACTTGCTCTATGGCTTTAACTTCTCAGCTGGGGGTATGGTTTGTTTCTTGATTCACGTAATGATAAAAAGATCAAACAAAAATAGTTAGCAAGTGCACAATACATGTGCCTATATGATACGGTATCTCAGGCATTGCTAACCTAATGTTATAGTATCTTCAGAAGACCTGGACCTAATACTATTGGGCTTCACTGATGATGTAATATCAAGCTCAAATTGTTCTGCAAAGTCCCGAAAAATAAATTATCTGCTATAAAATGAAGAACAGAGGAAAATCAATGAAATATGTGATGTGTGCTGTAAAAATATGATCTTCAGAGTTCGTTGAAAAAAACTAACTTTACGTACTTCTATATTCAGTCAGAGAAAATGATACCTGCACACATAGGCGGACCTATTTGATGCATAATTGATATAATACCCTTATAATTTTGCTGCAGATATCTTGACGAGGATCCCTTGGAAAACCAATTGATTTAGCCAACTCCTCGAAGCCACTAAAGAATGACAATTTAAATTCACGCTTCTAATTTTGCAGACACAACTCGAGTCAAGCCATTTATCAGATCATGCATCACAAATACCTTGAGAATTTTCTAAATTGACGATAATATAAAGAGAATAATAAACAGAACGCCAATACATAACAATCTAACATTGCACAACAAAACAATCCGAAGCATATAAGTCACTAGTAATCAAAATGATGAGGGCAGAAACATGATAGCCGATTACACACAATTGTAGCGAAAACTAGTAATCAAAGTCACCAAAAAAAAATCAATCTTTATTTAAAAACGCCAATATTCAAACAATTACACGACCAAAATGAAAGAGAAACTAAAATGAAAATTTTAAAATAAAGCAATAAACGGTGCAATGGCATCCGACACATGGTTGAAAACCACGCAAGGAACTGATGACGCAGGGAACAAATTAAAATCTAGATTCAAAGCCAGACTGAACAAATCAATCTCACTGAATTTTGGGAGCGGGCAAAGCCCTGAGGTTCGGACCTTCTTCAGTATTTGCAGGAGAACGACCACGCAAGGTTGGTAACAGTGGACGCTCTACCAAGCATGGAATGCTCATTATCAGTCAACGCCCAAGAAAGGATCTGCTGGTGCTGACTCGTTTTGCTGAGGTTACAATGTAATTTATTAATTTATATTAGGGAAAAAAGCACTATTTTTTATTGTAAAGTTATATATAGTATGTATTTTGTTAGAGCTGATAATATAGGTTGCACCCACCACCTAAATGACAGGTTAGGGTTGGCTAAAATCCAACTCACCAGTAAACGAGTCTTGTTAACCCACACCGCTAAGCCCGTAACCTACCGTGGAGTTGACGTGCATTTATTTTTTAAATTTTAGAATTTTTTAATTATTATAATTATATTATATATTATATCTTATTTAAAAAAATTAAAAAAAAGCTTATATAATTTATTTGGTACTTTCAATTAAATATTTCAAGGAAAAACAAAACTTTTATTATTATTTTTGGTTATTGTATAACAAAAAAATCTTTAAAAATAAAAAATTTAAAAAAAAATAAATAAAGTGTTGGCGGATTGGTAGGCCAACTCACTAACCCCCCTAGCAAGTTAAAGTTGGCTAAAAGCAAACCCGCCTTCAAATAAGTCTTTTTTAGCCTGACGTGTTAGCCCATATTACTAGCCTTATATTTTGCAAAGATCTCAGATTCTCAATCCACTCTCAGTTTCTTTCATTAATTTTTTTTTTGTAATAACTAATTGATAGAACCCAATCTTTATATGGTTTTCTCAAGTGTTTTCTAATGTTTTGTGACACTTTTACCCTCATTATGCATGCATTTATATCCATTTGATTACATTGAGTTAGACAATTCCATTTTGCTGCTTAAGGGGTAAAAATGGTCATTTTTCTCTCCTTAATTGTAATTGTCTGGATCTGTAATCAGTTAGTCTTTGCAATGCTCTTTGTTATGATTTTCAGGCAATTGGAGAAGGATTGAGGTCGTGACTTGGATGCCCTTTCAATGAAACTACGTATTTTGGACCTGAGTTAAGACTGAATGCTCTCTGTCTTCCCAAGTTGCAACATGAAACCTCTGAAGTCGTGACCTGAGCCCCCTAAGTTGCAACTTGACACTCCTGAGGTCACGACCTAAGTACATTAAGTGAAGCTATGTGTTTTGGAATAGGTTTCTTAGCTTCTACACCTAAGGGGGCCAGCCACCACGAACAGGGAGTCTCCCATTCTGTAGATTTACAAGGATAGAAGCCTTCTCCATTTTCTCTCTAGCTTTCATTGATCCTACACCCAAAACCTCTATTTTTCTTTATCTCTTCATCATTTTCTGCATTTTTGAACCGATTAAACTACTTCAACTACCTTCTTCTCTATTTTTCCAACCCCATTTTTAGCATCAACCATGGCTGTTCATTCCTGGAGCGATTGCGATTAGTTTGAAGACATAAGAGGCTAAACTCTTAGCCTTTTGGTGATGGAAGATGAAGCTTGAGCTCAAGGACCTAATAGGGGAGTTATCTATCTAAACTTGTATTTGATTTTGTGTTAGAGATTTCTAGATTTAGGGATTTCTACATCTGTTTCAGACTTGATTTATGATTATAAATCTTGTGTTTAGACTGTTAAATGTATTTGGATTGGTTGCTGTAAATGTTGGATTATTCATATATATATATATATATCAGTTTTGAATCCTTGTGTTCATTTAATTATCAGTGATCATTGGTGATTAATCTGTGTGCTTGGTATTCAATGATTGTTGATTGATTTTCTGAGGACATTATTGTTACAAGTAATAGATTTAACCAACTTTGTTAATATATGTGAATTGGAAAGGTAGTTATAGATATCATATAATTTCTCTTTCATCATTATTTGAATATAAAATTTTAATATGAGGCCAAAATGAAAAGGCTCAATTAATGAACTAGACAAATTAGAAGATGATCTTTTTCTTTTTTGCCAGAAAAGAACATGGTCTTGTATCTTGGCTCAAGTGAACTTTCCTATAAGCATCTCCGATTAGTGACTAATAGGCTTATAAATTAACTAACTAAATGATCAAAATCATTTCTATGAGACAAGATTTTTCCAACACACACACACACATATGACAATCAGTCAATCATCAACAAACACATACTCTTTACATTCAGAAAATGAATTAACTAATTGTAAGTACTTGAATCAACTAATAAAGGAGTTGTTCCAATTTAATTAATTCTCGAGTTCTAGTCCCCCATTTTGTTAGCATTAAAATAGAGGTATTCAAGGATGTCTCATATAAAGACGAGAAAAAATAGTGTGACCATGTGTGTGTGTGTGTATTAAATTATTAATTTTATTAATTGTAACATTAAATGAAAATATGACTCATTAGGCCCAGAAGTTACCAACGCATAGGAACTTGCAGATAAGTATTTTGCATAGCTAAAAAGAGGACCTAGGCACAACTGACTTTTCGGCAAAATCTTCTCATTTTATCAGATAGTTTTTGCATACTTGATCACCTCTACCGAGATGTCTTGAAACGGACTTTAATGAAGCATTTTAATTTAGTATGATGTGATGGATATTATTCCCCAATGAAATAAAGTCTTTTGATTCCAAAAAAAAATTACCTGGACTTCAGACTTAATAGGCCTTCACCTCATTTCAGACCCTCGACATTGCTCCCGGTTCTCACACACAGTGACGGCGCCTCTCACTCTCAATTCTCGTCCTCTGCTAGTTGCTCATTGATCTCTCATCCTCACTTCCCTCTGCCTCAGGACTTCATATTCACTCACTCACGCAGTCGCACACGACGCCTCTCGCTCTCAACCGCCAGCCGGAAAATTGCTTCTTTGTTGCGGGGCAGTCACCTGTAGCCTCACTTCTTAAGCTAACTCCATAGGTTTCTTTCAGTCTTTCAAACAGGTTTGTATCCATACCAGTAGGTGTAATATTCATATGTGAGCTCTTTTATGGAGTTAACCGTTGCTACTTATGAATAAACCCAAAAGCAAGTATAGGGAAAC